AACTACACAAAACGACACAAAATTTAAAGTTAACAAGATTATGAATCGATAAAAAAACTACACAAAACCATCAATTGAAGATTTATCTGAATCAAGAGTATCAAGAAAGATCATGAAGCGATATACGATGAATCGAGAGTATGGAGCGACATAGGAAGACTGAGAGCGATTCGCACCACTAAAAAACCCTGAATCGATAGAATGAAGCGTCGTTTTGGAGGCCTCAATCGTCTTCTTGGGCCTTCTTGGAAATCCTATGGAAGCATGAACTTGTAGAAGGGGCTGCCAAACTGATGTGTAAAAGGTTTATGTAGTATAGAGTAGTTGTACCTTAAGATTTTAAACTTGTATTTAAGACTTTTATGAAATTTGATTTATAAGGTAGTATAGATATAGATTAAAGTTGTGCAAAACTTAAACTTAGGAAGTTTCTAGTTCTTTCATACTCCCCCAAATCACAATAACATGAAGTAGCAGGCTCAAATTTCCCAATGGACTCAAACATCGTCGCTGTTTCTCTAAGATAACTTGAAGCAACTTCAAAATTCATTCCCCGTATTTGTTCAGCAGATGTTCTGAGACCCGAAGCCTTGGCCAATTTCTTCCACATCCTGTCTCCAGCTCTTTCAGAGCACATTGTTGCCATCCCAAAATTGTTCTCAAATTAAAGCTGAAAAACATATAAAGGTTGTGAATAACAAACAAGATGACATACTTAATAGCAGCATGTTTCAACCAGTTAAAATAACAGTAAGAGATTAGATTTAACCTTTTTACCACGCTCTCACCACTCTTGAGGGCTGCTTGCAACCCGCATGGCCTGTGCCACTGAATCATCAGGCTTCTTTAACTGGACCGATTGAGATGGATGATTATATAGAAGTGATAAATTAGGGTTTCAAGGAAGAATACTCGCAAATAAAAGCAATTCGATTTGAAGTCCTTCGCGGAGACTCCTATTGAATCTGGTATAAGGTCTTTGGAACAATAGGAAGGCTATCTAAGATTAATAGATAGGGATTGCGAATTTAAAATTTAAAGATCAAATTATGAATGATGAGGGATTATGAATCGTTGTCTTGGGGTTGGAGAAGGAGGAGAGGCAGAGATGGGGAAAGAGGGATTATGAATCGTTGTCTTAGGGTTGGGGAAGGAGGAGAGGCGGAGATGGGGAAGGAGGGATTATGAATCTGGTATAAGGGATTATGAATCGTTGTCTTGGGGTTGAGGAAGGAGGAGAGGCGGAGATAAACTCCTTGGAAATAGAAACCTCGTAAATAAAAACTATGCATTGAAAAATTGTACTTCAGGTTTATAAAGATGTAATTAAGAGATTTTTTAAGATTTTATGCATTAAAATATTGTACATCATGTATTACAAGTTGTTTTTAAGACTTTAAGACTTTATGCATAAAAAGATAGTAATTTATGCATTGAAGGTTGTTTTTAAGACTTTTCTCAAATTTGATTTATAAGGTAGTATAGATATTAGATTTATCTTGTCCTTTTACATACAAAGGACAATCTCATACCTCTCAAAGTAAATTACTGTATAGAGTATGTTATCTCCAAGGGTGCTTACCTACTTTGTGAAAGACTATTGTTCCTATACAGCTAAAACCTGTATATCCACAACAAAGGACAAGCTCACCTCTAGAAGCTTGCCACATGATTTGTACCTTATGAATTGCATTTAATGCAATGGGTATAAATAGCTGAGAAGTTCTTTCTTCTCAGTAATCTTCCCATCTTTATCCAAGCCAAGCTTCCTAGCCTTAAATATTATATTACCCAAGAAGATACTTTTCTTCTCTCAACCACTCTAACTAGTGAAGAGCACAAGACTCTCTTAACATTTTCATTTAGCAAGTCTTTTCTTTCTTGCTTTCTGTAACTTGTGTGTTTCTTTGATTGTTTAGATAAGTTTTGTACCTTATCTTTTTGGCAAACAATCTGTAAAATTGTGTATTGATCTTCTTTATCAATATACAATTTTTAAAAGTGAAAGTTGTTGTGTTTATATTTATCCCCCTTCTACAAACTGTTACCTACAAACTCTTATAGATCTGGTTGGGACCAACAATACATATATAGAGAGAGACTTGGGATCTTGTGCAACAAGACTGTCTTCGTGAGACACACGAGACATGATTTTTACACTTAAAACTTCACAGCAAAATACTGTGAAGGTAACCTTCACAGTGTTTTTGTATGATATTTTGTTGTGATATTTCAAGTGTAAAAATCGTGTCTCACGAAAACAACCTTGTCTCACGTGAACCCAACCCTATACATACATATATAAATATATACACACACATATATATATACATATACATACACACACACACACATATATATATATATATATACATATATATAGGGGTCATTCAAGGTAGAACTGTTTAGTTTGTGATAACTGTGAGATCTAATGTCAACTACAATTCAATGATTAAAATAGGAAACTAAAATTTTGGTAATTTGACTTAAAAAAAATTTAAAGGGCATTTTAGGTATTTTAAAAATCTTATATATCATCTCTCCTCTCTTCGTCAAACTTTATTCCGACGAATCTTATTCCGGCAAACACATGATGCATATTGTGGTACGCTTTATAAAATAACGGAAAAACACAGTGTGATACACCATAATATATTGTGTTACACTTCGTAAAACAACAAAAATATATTGTGATACACTTAATATAACGACAAAAATATATTGTAATACCATAAATACAACTGTATTACCACTGTATTACACATCTCCAAAGAGATCTAAGTTACATCCAAAAACCTTACATCTTCTAAGTTACATCTATGATGATATCTGGATTACATCTCCGAAAAGATGTGGGTTACATGACCGATCTGAAATGAGATCTGAACAAAAAACAGAAACCAAAACCGGTCTAGATGTGCAGAAACCAGATTTCTTGGGGTAGGAAAAACTAAAACTGATCTGGGTTGTTCAACAAGGGGGAGTCAGACCGGTGAAGGTGAGAGTTGAGGAGATGATGGTCGGTGGTTGGAGATGGGCAGAGAATACGAAGCAGCGGTGGCCGATGGCCGGAGATGGTAGGAGAAGGAGGCGTCGGACGGTGTTGGGCAAAGTGATCGGTGTAAAGTGTCGTACGAGAGAGGAATCACGTTTTGCCCGGCGATGGGGAAAGAGGGTTACAGGTGGTAATCTTGTCCATTCATATATATATATATATATATATATATGTGTGTGTGTGTGTGTGTGTGTGTGTGTAAATATATCTATTTCAAGATTAGAATACTAAACTAATTAAAGTAAATTAAATATTCAACACAATTTATTAGTTTACCCTTCTACTTAAAATAAGAAATCATAATAATTATCCTGAATGATTGGTTCATGTTAGATCTCACGGTTACTACAAACTAAACAATTCTAATTAGAACCCTATATATACATGTATATATATACGAAAACTGACCTATTTTTCATAGAGATATGTTAATTTATATATATATATATGTATATATATATATATATGTTTATATATATATAAGTTGATGTATCTATACGAAAATAGGTCAATTTTAGTTATATTTTATTATTAAGAGGTTAAAATTTTAAAAGAAGAAATCGGTTCAAATTTGCCACCACTCCAACCTCCTAAATATTTTATCAAAATAATTATTTTCTTAATATTCTTTGTAATCATATTTAACTTCTATACTAACTATTTTTAAATTTAAAGAAGAGACTGAAAAAGAGTGTAACGTTTAACCGGATCTACCCAATTTTGATACATCCTAATAATTGATTCGTTTTAACGTAAACCCATTTCAACGCATCACTAAACATTTCTACCGAACTTATTCCATACATATAAACTTAGAACTCCACGTACATGTTACAGTCATTTTAAATAAGATCCTCGATCGCCTAAACATATACAATCACTTTTACTTTTACTTCTAAATCGTATTTATTTATAATATTAAAACGTATTTCAAAGAAAGAAAAAGTAGAAAAGTGTGTGTAGTCCCAAAATGGGCGACATTAATTCAATATATATATTGTGGTCTAATAATAAGATGGACCGCAAAGTTTTAACATTCAACTTCCGTCCATTTGTTTGTGAGAAAGACAGCCTTGGCATCTTTATGGTCCATGTTTGAAAAATTCAACATCAAAAAACTACTCAATTTCAATAAAGCAAACTATATAAAACATGTACAACTTTTGAATCCATTAAAAAAACCACACTTATAATATCAAAAACATTAAAAAGCACCCCTTTTATTCATTAATAGATCCATCGATCCAAATAAATGTTTTATCGATTGACTTACCGTTTCTGTTTTGAACGTTGCATATCAATTAACGGGTTTTGAGTGTCGAATCTTATACCGCTATGTAAATATTCTCTACGTTATTATATATGTAGTTTGATAAAACCAACGGATATGTCGGCTATTAACCAAAAACTAATTATTGACTAATAATTCATGTTTGGTAATTAGTAAAACAGTTATTAAACTAGTCATATTTTATAAAAATTAGATGATAATATGATTGAAAATTTATTTAAAGTGGTTTTTGAAATTGAAATAAAATTTTCAATAAATAAATTAATTTATAGTTATATAAAATTTCATGTACGGTTTGATTACGTTGTGATGTGGGGTTATGAATTATCAATAGTTATATATTCAAAACGTTTACCATCGATGGATACATGTGTTTTGTTTGGAGTAATTAAAAATGGGAAATATGAGAAAATTAAGTCTTGATATCTAACAACACTCATCTTTGTCAAACATTTGTTTGAGATAGTGGGGTTAGCAACTCTCCTTCAAATCTTCTCTCTTTCTCTTTCTCTTTCTCTTTCTCTGCCCAATAAACACATAAATATTGTCAAAGCATAAATAAAGACTCCTTGCACATAATTTGTCAAACTTCCTCTCTCTCTCTTTGTCAATTTCTACTTGTTCATTTCTAGTTCTTCTTCTCCATCTTCAGCCATGTCTGAAGACCAGAGGGATCTCTACTATCATGATCCATTCAATGATGATCAAAGAAACAGTGAGACTCTCTATTCATTCTTTGGACCAGATTCCACCATTAGAGGCGATTCTTCACCACCAATTCCACAAAGATTTCATGACTACATGGGTTTAACTCACTTCTTCAATGGATCTACCGATTATAACACACCTGCAACCGCCTTTGGTTACTCGTCTTCTTCATCACAAGTAGGGTTTGTTCTTCAACATGACCAGAAGCCCATGATTGATCCAGGAAACTTGGTTGGTGGCGCGGAGACGATTCCGGTTACACCCAACTCTTCTTCCGTTCTTTCATCATCTACTGAGGCTGCTGATGATGAACACGAGCTCAGCCAAGGTAAGAAAGATAACCAACTGAAAGGTGTATCTGAAGATGGTGGCGACAGTACTAACAAAGTGTAAGTCTGTATGGTTATGATCATATAATTAGGGTTTATAATTTGTTGTGGGTTTTTTGTTTTTGGGTCGATTAAAGGTTTTATTTAATTTGACCAAACAAATAATAGGAATAAGCAAAAGAAGAAAGAAGAAAAGAAGCAAAGAGAGCCACGGTTTGCTTTTATGACAAAGAGCGATATTGATCATCTAGAAGATGGATATCGATGGAGAAAATATGGACAGAAAGCTGTCAAGAATAGCCCTTATCCCAGGTAAATACACACACAAACACACACACACACACACACACATATATATATATATATATATATATATATATTCATTGCTTTGATCACAAAGTCTACTTGGTTTCTTGGATACAGATTATTTGATATTAAAATTGACGATTACATCGTCAATGGATTCAATATATAATTCTTAAATAAAACCCTATATTCCCTGCAACCACCAATTTTGTATTGTATCTCCAAAGTCATTGGTTCAGGTTTGATTCACATTCTTGTTCAATTACTTTCAAAAACACAAGTGGGAGAATTAAATTTTGTTTCCCATTTCAAATATATCCAAGAATGCAAATCTATTTTCATCAAGAATTCTCGTAAAGAACGAGTTTTGATCTGTGTTACAGAAGCTACTATCGATGCACAACTCAGAAGTGCACAGTGAAGAAGCGTGTGGAGAGATCGTATCAAGATCCATCGACTGTGATCACTACGTACGAAGGGCAGCACAACCACCACTTGCCCGCAACACTGAGAGGAAATGTTGGTGGTGGAATGCTGTATCCGCCGTCTATGATGGCAGCACAAGGGGCGATGATGGCGGGTGCTGGTGGCTCAAGCTTCCCTCATGAGTTTCTTGCTCATATGCCTCATGGTTTCTATAACTCCGGTGGTGGTGGTGGCGGTGGCGGTGGTGGTGGTAGCAGCACAGGAGGTGGATCGATCTACCAGCAAAGTGCCCTAACACCCTTTCAGCAGCTTCAGATTCCTGATTATGGGCTTTTACAAGATATGGTCCCATCGATGACTTTTAAACAAGAACCCTAAATCTTAATCAACTACCCCACACCCCCCACCCCGACCCCCACCTCCGCGATGCAACCTCTGACCTTTTTCTTAACTTTCACCATATGATTCATGGGTAGGGTATATTGTTTTTGCAGTTCTGAGATGACCCCCATGAATCTGACCTTTTCTCCTCATAAACACACACAGAGAACTTAAAATTATGTAATTACACTGCTTAGTGCATGCATCTATAATTATTTCTTGGTTGATTATATACACGATTCTACTCTTCTACACTTCATGCTAATTATGTTTAAATTGCGATTTATTTATTTATTATGTCTTAATGAAATATATTTTAGTTAATTAAGTGTGCACAATTATATTAATCATCTCGACTATTATACATGATTTTTAATTAAAAGATTTAAATGAAATTAGACGAATTATGATATGATTACGATATTAAAACATGTAATTACTAAAATATTTATTCAATTATATAATTGAATATTATTTTAAAATTGTGTCACAGTAAAAAAACGTTTTTTTTTTATTTTTTATTATAAAGAAATACCATCAACATCTCATGTTTTAATTGCATTAATGTTGATTTATGAGCATATGATTGGTTTTGGTGCAAGAATAGCGAAGATGAGGTGTATGAAAAGATAAATGAATAGGGGCTTCAATGAAAACCATATCTTTTAATTAATTTATTTATTTTTATTAGTTTAATTAATTAAATTAAATTCTACTCCATCTTTGGTTGCATCAATCAGGCTAAATTCACGTCGATAGGTCGGGCTAAAGATCAATTATTAGGATTCGATATCTTGCAAAATATTATTATGCTTTTGTTTTGATTTCCCTCAGGTAGTATCAATTTTTGTAGACTTATGAATACCGATTGGAAGACTAAATATTGTTTAGGGTATGTGGAGGAACTCCTATGTGAAGATATTTTCAACTAGTTAGACAACAAATAGACCTATGGTTAACAAAAAAACATATATATATACATATATATATATATAGGTGGAGGTTCAAACGAGAACACCTCCATTTTACAAGAACGCTTGAACACCCTTATCACATTTGATAATACGCATGAGGAGACCTAATGTTGTACGGAAGACGTGTTCTAGGACTTAGGCCACGTCAATGGTTGTCTGTGTCTATGATTTAGCATCACATGTGATGGATTATAATATCATATCAACAACACTCTTATCAAATGTGATAATACATGTACGGCTTAGTGGTGTATGGGCGACTTGGCCCGTAACCAAGATCGCGCCGAAAATCATCCGCGTCTCTGATTTAGTATCATATGTGTATCATATGTGATGGAATAATAGTATAACATGTGATTTCTATAGTAAAATGGTGTTCTAGCATTCTCGTAAAATGAGAGTGTTCTCGTTTGAACCCTTCTCTCTCTACAAGTTATTGTGATCGTACAAAATTCATGAACCATGGAAAACCTAAAAGGTGTTGACGTAACTGGAACTCAAACTCTATTGTACGTATTAGTTAATCCAAAAAAACTAATTGGATACAAAACAGGACTAATTAATTACTCTATAATGAACATTAATTTTAGTTGGTCATGAGCAAGAAACCATCGATTTCGCTTAGTGGACAGGCAATGCTCCGCTTATCAATTTATTTGGTAAACTACTAGGTTTAGCCTATGTATGAATAAGGATTAATTTCGTTACCCCACATAGCTACTATAGGTAGAGGTAGGACGTCGAGGGAAGTTATTAATATTTTTCCATACTTTGCGGATGGAGCACTTGATTTAATTTTATCTGCAATATTAGGCTTTCATGATATTTAGCATGTATTAATAGGACCCCAAGATGCTTGAAATGTTTTTTCAATCCTTAATTGTATAAGTAATATAAATTAATATAAGAGAAAATTGTACTATATGTAACAAATTTTGTATTTGTGCCTAATATGTATAATCTATGCTAAATCAAATATTGTCAATTAATGTAACAAAAATGTTCTAAAGATCGACAATTAATGTAACATATTTTCTAAAATTCTTATTATGAGTCCAAATTATACAACTTTGTTTGCAAAACTAAACAAGACTTTTCCAAGTGAATTAAAGATGGTTGCTTCATATCTAACCGATCATATTCTTATGCAAATGTTTAGATTTAAAAGACGAACACTACAACGAAATTGGGTTTATAGGATACCCACAATCTCTAAGTGTTCCAATAGACCGCTTTATAGGACTTAATTTATAGGACCAAAATATAAAATGTCCTATCTAAATGTGTTGTAATAAGTTTATATGACGCTTTTGGGTGTCTTAACAAGTTTTTGAGGACATTTTTAATACAAAATGTCGCATTAGCAACTTTATACGACACTTTTGAGAAATTGTCCTATAAACTCAATCTTTTATACAACACTTGTTTTTATAGGACAATTTTTCAAATAGTGTTCTGTAAAGTTGATAATGAGACGCTTTATATTAAAGGTGTCCTAAAAAACTTATTACGACTTCAAAAAACGTCATATAAACTTATTATATCACCTTTAGATAGGACGCTTTATTTTTTTGGTCCTATAAACTAAGTCTTATAAAGAGGTCTATTAGGACGATTAATTTGGGAGTGTCATATACACCGGTTTTGTTGTAGTGGAACATGATAACAAATTATATACTATAAAAGTACACGTAAACACATTTATCTTTGTTGCTTTTAAAAGTTTTTCCAATCTTACTTCTGGCATTCAAGTTAACGTTACACTTTTCAGTTCATTCTTGAATCTCAACAAAATGTTACCTTTAATCAGTAACTAACTCGTTTACCTTAGCGGTGTCGTTAAATATCTAGAATGAACGAGGTGAGATTAGAAATGCTACACCATCTTGATGAATATCGTAGCGCCCTTTAATTGTAAAATGACAAGAACTTCCTATCCACTGTTTCACTCTAGATTTCTATACACCCACGTCAAAAAAAATTGAACCCATTTTGAATCTAAATAAAACAGAGGAAAAGATGTAAATAGTCAAGAACATGATTGCATTAACTAAGAAAAGCTAAATGCTTGAAACAAAAATATCGAAATAAGAAATTAAAGCGTAAGGAATGTAAAGGAAAACAAAACTAAACTACAGTATCAGTACTAGGAAAAGAAAGTGATTATAAAAGAATAATTACTAGCTAAAATATGAATACTTAACTCGACTTGCACTCCTTACATAACTTTACCTTTAGTTGGTTATGACCAAAAAAACAGCCGTTTCACTTGGTGGACTGGAAATTTTATTTGGTAAACTACTAGATACATAACGGATATATGAACATGTACTAGGCACATAACGGAATTATGAACATGCATCAATGTTATTTTATCACCTAGCTACTAGGTTAGGGGTAGGACCTAATGCAAAAGTTATATACATATATACATTTCATACATTTTAAACAGAGTACTTCAATTAATTTTCTTTGTACTATCGTGTTTTCTTGACATTTGTCATGCACTAATAGGACCCATACGCTAAAAATGTTTTTTTTCTCATTCCTAAACTTGTCGGGGAGATATAAAAATAAATTACATCATTCAAGTATTCATTTAATTGCTAGGTACAAGTGTTCTTCTTGTAGCATTGAAAGCTCTTTATTTGTAAGGCATACATGATTCCTGAGCTTTGGGAGTGGACCTATTACATAATCCAAGTAGTTCAAAACTTCAAATAAGAGTAAATGTTTTAATAGATGCCGGTTGCTCTAAGTACAAGTATAAGATACATTTGAAAAACATTGAAATGAAAGAAACAATGAAAATGAGAGTAATTATCTTAAAAAATGAAAGAGTAAATTATAGTTTTCGTCCTTTTGGTTTGTTAACCATCGCAAATTCCATCCCTTTGGTTTTGAAATTGCGGTTTTCGTTCCTATAGTTTGTAATTTATTGTTGTTTTTGTTCCTGAGGCGAATTCTTATCTTTTAAGTATGAGGGATTAAGATAGAAATGAATTGTAAGCCACAAGGACGAAAACAATAATAAAATTTAAATGTATGCTTTCTCTCATCCCCACTGAAACCTCTAAGGTCTTCTTTACTAAAGAAAAATATAAGAAAGAACCTTCTTAATCTACCCATGCTTCCATCCCAAAAAAAAAAAAAAAGACCAAGTCCAACCACCATTGACTCCTTTCCTGTTTCCCAAAGAAGGGGATGAATGCAATTCAATTACTCTACACCGGCTTCAATCTCTCAAAACACTACGATTGCAAGAAAAAGTCATGGGCTATTATTGACTACTTAGGTGTCTACCCAAGCTAGCCTTTTAGCTACTCTTCACAGAGTAAATGTTGAAATAAGGGAATTCTCGTCTAACTCCTCACCTTTTAACATGGTTTTGAAGCTGAAATAGGTCACTATTCGTCACAACCCCTCATCTAGCTATTGAAAATTAATGATATCTAGAGTTTGGGATGAATTCCTACTCGACCTGCTGACCTTAGTACTCAATGATTTGCCACTTCAAGAGGAACTTCCTTCACATCCTACCAATCACAGGACCTACATAGGAGCATATGGTTGCACAACGTGCCACCTTTTCGTAGTATGTTGTAATGGGAAAAAAATATAATTAATCAAGTGTAGTGTTTGGTTCAATACAAAACATATGGGTATTTTAGACGGACATTTCTGTCGAAAATCTGTTGAAAACAATTTGGTTGGAAAATGAACATTTCGACAGAATTTTGACACAAAATATTCGTTGAAAAATCCATAAAAATTGCGATGGATTCTTGATGGAACTTGGTCATCAGGACTTTCGATGGATTTTCAAGGGTAGTTTTCAAGAGGATTTTCAACAGAAACGGTTTTCAAGGGATTATCGATGGAAATGGTTTTTAACAAAATGCTTTTCTAGGAAATGGTTTTCAATGGATTTTTTCTGGAAATTGTTTCTAAGGGATTTTTGATGGATTTTGGTCGACCATAAGGGCTGACCTGTTCCATCACTTGACTCATTTGTTCCGCAAT